TCGAATTACATGTTTGAATAAAAAAGGAATCTATGTTGATTATTGTCTTATATCTGGGGCACGGTAATGGACTTAAATCATGTTGTGTGCTGCATATGCAGTTGTCCCTTAGAATCCTTTGGGGGTTGGTTCCAGAATACATATCAAAATCAGCCAAAGCCCAAATCTCTGGCACAAAATGGGATAGTATTTGCCTATGACCTACACATATCCTCCCATATACTTTAGATTATCTCTAGATTATATGTAATACCCAGTGCAATGTCAATGATATGTAAATAGTAGTTATGTGGTATGGATTAGATAACAATGAAAAGAAAAAATATTTATACATGTTCATACAGATGCAATTATTTTTTCATGTATTTTTTGATACTGGTTGGTTGAATTGGCAGATGTGGAACTGACAGATACAGAAGGCTGACTTATTTGTTAGACTTTCATATTTGCACAAGTCTTAAGATGTATTTCTAATTTGTAGTTTTCTCCACTCTCCATTGGTGCTGAGTGGACAGTTTCTTCAGATCTTCCCCTAAGTTTACTTATTTTCTCTTCTCTTGTCTAATAGGCTGTTTAACATATTCATAGAGTTCCTAATTTTATTTATTTTACTTTCATTTCCAAAATTTCCATGTGATTAAGATTTTGATGGTGCCTCCAACTTTAGTGTTTTCCTTCATTATACTTTCTATTTTCTCTTTTATATCTTTAAACATACAAAGTGTATTTATTTTATATTCTGTCCCTGACAAGTCTAAGTACTTTGCAAGCAGGGTTAGGTAAGTGATTTGTGTTTTGACATTCATGGTGATTCACATATATGATGGCTTATTTTGTGGTTTTCATCATAAGCTCATGATCCTTACATATTTATCTAGGAATATTCTTTGAAATCTGGATTTAAATTATTATCTATGAAATATATTTTTTATTATATATGTAATATGATTCTTTTGTCTCATACACAAAAGTGTTCAGAAATTCTTGAGAATATTTTGTCCCCCATTTCCCCTTTATTTTCTTTCGGGAACCAAGGCCTAACTAGACAGTTTTCCTGGACCTTTCCCTCTGTAGGACGTTTTCCTTCCTTTAATTTCAACACAGGATATTTCCTTGTGGGGATTCATTATTATTAGTTCATGATTACAATCTCTGAACTTGCTTGAGTACCAGGTTTTATCTCATATGTCCTGAGTACGTAACTGATGAAACCTAAGCTCATAAGTCCCCAAGAATAGTTTCCTGAAGATATACTCCTCATGTAGTGTTTGCCCTCTAGACTCATACTTTCTTATCTTTCATCTTTTGCTGTCACAGATTTTCACTTATGTTTTGGTCAGCTCACACATGAAAAAACTGGCACTTTTATATTTGATCCAGAATTCATTTTATTAGGGGAAATCTTTCTTAATATAAAGTTCATAATATTGCTGGACATACATGGCTTCAATAATATTTCTTGATGGATAAATTGACTTCTACACTAGTAAAGAGAGATAATGCTTTCTGTAACATTGGTGGCCATTGGTAGACAACTGCTAAACTGTCATTCAAAATAAGGAAATGAGATGGGTAAGAAATTATTTACTAAAAAGAAATGCCTATTCTCTTGGTAAAATTAAGCCTCAAAAACATCACTCGAGTACTGAACTGAAAGGAGACTTTCTGTGTAGTAAAGGAGAATGGAACCAAGTAATCCAGACCTGTACTAGTGATTTTTCTGGCCATTCCTTTGAATATTTTCTCTGATATTCACTCACTATCATGCAGGGCTTAAGTTTCTGCTCTCCCTTAACTCCAAGGCAATGATTATACACTTGTTACCTTGTAGTGTATTGTAAGACAAGGCCAGTGTCTTCCAAACTTGATTGTCCTGAAGGCTAATGATGCAAAAGAGAAATAAATGTGGAGAAAGAAAGCCAGGAGGAGAGAACAGAGAAAGAAGGGAGAGGAGAGAGGAGATACAAAAGAAAGGGAGAGAGCCCCAGGTGAAAGCTGAATCCTTTTATGACCTCAACTTTGATATCCATAGCATCACTTCCACTAGTCTATTGGTTGGAGAAGCTCCAAGACTCTGCCTAGAATCAAAAGTAGGAAACAAAGACTATCTCCTGTTTGGAAGATTGTTAGTCTTTCTACACTAGGAGCATGTGGGATGCACATTCTGTATGTGCTAGTGAGTGTGTGTGGCCATCTTTGTAAATATACAATCTGCCACAAGCATATACATTCTATGGTTTTCATAAAAATACTATTATATTAGAAAACATCCAACATAATGCCAAGGGCTCTCTAGTTACTATGTATGCATTAATTTCTTTCCTCCCTTTATATAAAACATATAACAAGTTTTTATTTTAAGAGACACAAAAGGGATGAGAAATAAAAATAGTTATTTTTCTTGCGTGTTCTACTACACTGAGTTGTCAGGTCAGTAAACACTCACTTTCTAAATGAGGGAACTATGGCTCAAAAATGTTTAGTAATTTTAGTCTTAAACTAATTTGGTAGTATGATTTCTTTTTTGTTCTCCACTTAGGCTTTAAATAAAATTTTATTTAAGTATAACATAAAGACACATAGCTTGATGAAACTTTGGCTAAATAGATATATCTGTGTAACCGAATCAGAACATTACCCTATCAGAATCAGAACATTACTAGCAACCTCGAAGCACCTTTTCATAGTCCTTCCAGTCACTAGCCTTTGGGTGACCAGCAGAGAGGAACTGCTATCTGACTAACACCACAGATTAGTTTTCCTGCTTTTAAACTCTGTATATTTGGGATAATAAGAAATGTACTCTTGTACTTGTTTTTTTCACGCTATAATAGATTGATATCATCATCAACTAATGAAATTTCATGGATAAAAGGAGTTTTATCTTATTAATATGGTAGTACTTTTATCAACCTTTGCACTTATTTTTATTGAATACCGTATACACCTAGAAATGTTATCCTGGTTCAAAATATATAAAATATGTCAAAGTTTGTTAAATAGTGCCAACAAGTTTAGTGAACCAACATATAATGATGTACTGCACTAATTTTACTCCTGGCACCAATGTAATTTTTCTCCCCTAATTTTTGCTTTTTTCACTTATTTTAAGCAAGTAGCTAGAGTTTGTATTTTTTTACTTTAGGGTTTGTGGCTATATCTAAAACATAAGCAGCTTGGAGTTTAGGCTTTTTTTGTTTTTGAAGGCAAGGTCTACTGAAGAGATGGTATTAGTTGTTCAGGAAGGGTGTGTTCAGTTATGGAGGACTTGGAGGGTAAAGGTGAAAGAGATTAACAGACAGGAGATGGATGTCAGTGAAACTAAGAGACCACTGGGCCCAGAGGACCTGAAGAACTGCTTATGCTATTTTTAGTAAGGCAGTCCTATAATTTGTAATTCAGATCAAGGAACTTTTGAGAGCAAAAATGTATGGTATTAATAATTATACAGGGATCATGGGTATAATTCAGGACTGTCCCAGGCAAACTGAGATTATTCAGGCAGCCTCAGTAGAAGCTTACAAATGTTGATGCTTACATGTTTATGAGTTTTTCTTAGAGTGTTGTGTAGTGATATGAACTGTCATCTGAAGAATGACAGGATGAAACCCTTTGGTACATTTCCCATTACATCTGAATCCTGTGTATGTGCAGAGTCAACCCATGCTTCCCTGTATGTGCATGTTATGTTTTAATCTCCTCACCTGTAGTTAAGGCATAGCTGTGGCCTCTAGCAGAATTGAGAGTAGGTGGTGTTTGTAGTGGTTGTGGTCTCACTGTTCTGAGCAGCTTATGGTCCTAGAGGCATTTGATATGGGGTGCTCTCTGAGCACCTATGACTTTGATTTAATTTTCTTCTTGGCTTTTGTTCTTCTTTCAAAGTTTCTTACAAAATTTGGAAATACTGGAAAATAAGTTGGGGGGCATTCTCCCTTCACGCCAAATTTAGGCTCCAAAAGTGAGTGAAAGAGGGAAAATAAGCTCATAAACTCAGCACTGAGTGATGTGAAATCCCTAGACTGAAGGAGAAGTTTGAGTAGAATATCAGTTTCCAAGATGCTACATAAATATCCAATATAGGCTGTATACAAAGACAGTGTAATTTCTTCCCTTTAGAAACAAAATTCAGAAAAATTCCCAGGGGAAATTGTTAATAAGGTCCCTGATTGTCTAATCAGTTCCCTGAAATCATCAAGCCACTTAAAGTTCTCTGTGACAGACCAGCTGGGGTTCCAATAAATAAGGTTGCTAGTTTTTCTCCTAAAGTTGATGGAGACCATCTAGGAAAATCCACAAACAGAAACCTTGGTCTATTCCTCAGGCACTTTGGAGAATTTGGGTCTGTAAAAGCTCTGATTCCCACCACCAAGGGCATCAGAACAGTCAACAAAGGCTTTCTGCTTTATGCTCTAGAGTCCAGCACTGAGAAGAACCAGGAAGAGAGAAGGTGAAGGTCTGAATCTCATTTTTCCTGATGCTTTTCTTCTAAACCCACATCCTAAGCCTCTGGGAAGTATTGATCCCTTCCCTGACTTCACTGATTCTGAGGTGAGATGGACCAAAGCAGCTCAGAGAAGAAAGGCAGAATATGCAGAGCCGGGGGGACAACTTTTGACTTAGCTTTCTCCAGAAGTGAGAACCCTATACATGGTTGGGAGAGCAAGGCAGAGAATGGAAGGACTCCATGGGAGACACAAGAACTTGTGTCTTTCTGAGAGTCCCTCTGCAGCCAACTGAGGTGTGCTGACACCTCATCTCTCAAGTGAGGACAGAATCTTTGCTACCCACCCTAACAGACCAGCTTGTATTCATATTAGCCCAGGGGAGCTGAGATACTGTCACAGTATCACTTTCCTCAGCTGGGAATGAGGAGCAGCATCAATGAGAAGAGGAAGGAAAAGAGGAGAGGGCATCCTTGAGAGCTTCTTTCATTGTTCACATGTGTGGCTGTCACTAGTTTTGTGTTTTGCTTTTTTTCCCCACAGACAACTTGCCAGAAGAGGATGATGCTGAGAAATAGCTCCTCAGTAACAAAGTTTATCCTTTTGGGATTATCAGCACAGTCAGCACTGCGGCTCCCCCTCTTCTTCCTGTTCTTAGGGATCTATGTGTTCACTGTGCTGGGCAACTTGGGCTTGATGGCCATAATCGGGCTGAATTCTAGCCTTCATACTCCAATGTATTTTTTCCTTTTCAACTTGTCATTTATAGATCTCTGTTATTCCTGTGTTTTTACTCCCAAAATGCTGAGTGATTTTTGGTCAGAGAATATTATCTCTTATGTGGGATGCATGACTCAACTGTTTTTTTTCTGTTTCTTTGTGAATTCTGAGTGCTGTGTCTTGGTGTCAATGGCCTATGATCGCTACGTGGCCATCTGCAGTCCTCTGCTGTACTCAGTTACCATGTCCCCTCCAGTCTGTTCTTTGCTGATGTTTTTTTCATATGTGATAGGGTTTTCTGCGGCCATGGCACACACTGGGAGCATGCTGAGACTCACCTTCTGTAATGCCAGTGTCATCCACCATTACCTCTGTGAAGTTCTCCCCCTCTTGCAGCTCTCCTGCTCCAGCACCTACATCAATGAGCTCGTGTTTTTTATTGTTGTTGGAGTGGTTATCACAGTATCCAGTATCAGCATCTTCATCTCTTATGCTTTGATTATTTCCAACATTCTTCAGATTCCTTCTGCTGAGGGCATATCTAAAGCTTTTGGCACATGTGGCTCCCACCTAACTGCTGTTGCTCTGTTTTTTGGATCAGGGGCATTCACCTATTTAACAACTTCTTTTCCTGGATCATTGGAACAAGGGAGTTTTGCCTCAGTGTTTTATACCAATGTGGTTCCCATGCTTAACCCTTTGATCTACAGTTTGAGGAATAAAGATGTTAAACTTGCCTTCGATAAAACACTGAAAAGAGTACTCTTGTAATGGGTCTGATTGGTCTGATAATTGGTAATTAATTCCCAAGAATCATACTCAAGTAATGTAAGAATCATACTCAAATAATGTTTTATCTGGATGAGGAGAAATTTAAACTTTTTTCCTCAAACAAATTCTTCTTTCTACTTTAAAAATATCAGAATCTCTTGTTATACTTTCCTTCAGAATTATATTATTTTGTACCACTTAAATTGGCTGATTGGATGCAACTTATTATCTATTAAGTGCCTATTGTTTACTGGAACCCATGGTAGATCCAAGAGACGAATAAATAAACTGAGATTCCATGCCTTCCAGTTTATCCTCTGTAGGATAAACAAGAATATTTCTGGCTGGGGGAAGGGGCAAGTGGTGGTGTGAGGTTCCAGGAACATTTTTTATTCAGGTATGTGAAGAATCTTAAAAGATGAAACAGGTGTCATCAGTAACATCATCTTCCAACTCCTAGGGAGGCTGCTTGGCCAGGAAGACCACCCATCCTCTCCTCATATACATATGTATCCACACAGAGAAGGAAGGATGCTTATATGGTCTGATATTTAAAGATAAATCAAAATCCAAATCTTATATTTCAAAATTTCTGGGCCTTGAAATAGTAACTGGAGGTAGACCATCTAATTAGTACAGTTTCTTAGGCTCTGGGGGCTCAAGATGAAAGGAAGAAGAAAGAACTTCCATGGATTTGCATAATTATATAAAATACTACCTCTGTCTTTTCCTGGAGATATCATGCATTTTTAGAAAAATTTTGTAAAGTGAATTTAGACTTCAGCATCTCTTAGAATGTGTGTGTGTGCGTGTGTGTGTGTGTGTGTGTGTGTGTGTGTGTGTGTGTGCCTGTGTATTACCGATTACCACTAGAAGATCAGAAAGAAAGTAGATCTACTTCCCACTCTCAGGGAGACTGGAAGGGATCTGTATTCTAACTGCCAAGAACCACTCTGTACCACTCTGCTAAACATTTTGCTATTCTATTTTCAATAGCTCAGCTTTTGAAAAATACACCCTCATAAACTACTCTGAATGTAGGGAGGAAGGTGAATGTAAGAGCATCCTGGCCCATGTAGAGAGATGGAGGGTGGTGACTCACACTGTTGTTAGAAGAATGGGCACTCTCAGAGCAGGGTTAGAATTTGGGATGCTCTTGAGGAGACCCTCTGTGAAGAATATTTGGTGCTTTGCTTTTGAACCTGGGTAAAATCTTGTACTGAGTCTACAATTTTTGCTTTTATCTCTTGAATGCTTCCAAAAGTCATACAGTTGCTCAGTGTGTGCTGGTGCCATAAATAAGGCAATCAAGGGAAGAAAGTCTCGCTACACATTTACCTCTTTGTTGACACTGATGTGGAAAGAGCAACATCATACGGGGAAGAAGGGGATGCAAGTGTCCTAAGTGGAGCCAGAAGTAAGATGTCCTAAGGGGTAGTTCAGACTGCACAAAAAGGCTCCTGAAGTGTGAGGCTGACTGGTGAAGAGACTTTGAAGAAGGAGGAAAGTGACATACTTAGATTATAGCAAGATACTGACAAACATAATAGTTCACATTTACGGCGAGTGTGTCATATATTTATGCATGCTTTGAAATGCTTTATGTATATTAGCTCACTTTTTGGAATTTAATTATAATACCTTACTGAACCACTTCTAGTCAGCTCTCTGGTCTAAATAAATTCTACCCTACTGGACTGTCTGTGATCTTAGGATACTAGGAAAGAGTTAAGAATGAGGAAGGACAAAAGTAGGTCTATATGGGTTAAAAAAAATTAATTACTATTGGTAGGAATGAGTAGGAACAAGGAATAAGTCAAGATCTAAGATATGAGTAGAAAGAAACATTATGAAATATATGCATTAAAGTAAAAGAATAACTTTCCTTGTATTAATTCCATTTTGGCACTGGAGTGAATAAAGGTTAAAACATAAGTTTGACTTAATGTGACACAAGCTTAGATCTTTTGAAAAGCAGTTCCTTTGTTACTGAGCATCTGGGATAACAAAACTTATAGAGATTTTTTGTGGTTCTTCCAACAGCCAGATGGGAATCATCTATTGCACTCACAGAAAACACAACATCTCATAAACCCAGAAGGCCTTCACATAGCTCACAAACCAATGGTAGGTCTTCTTGAGTGACATTTTGGATTGGTGTTGAGAAGTATTTTGTTCTCAGTGATCAGCAAATGTGAATAAATGGGGGCTGCTGTTTTACAGAACAAAGAGATATGACTTGAAACCAAGTGTTGGATGTGTGAAATCAAACCCTTCTGCCGGAGGACCATAGTTTTTGTATCTCATGACATCATGACATTTTGATTTTAAACAAGGTCCATTTTTTCTAGTTAAGAACCATCTTTAAAGTTGAGATTCCTCTGGGTTCAATCCTTGGTCTACTTTCTGACTTTTTCTAAAAAATTCTCTCCAACCCATATCACATGTGTTCAATAATCACATATTTGATGGTTACTTACAAATCTATTACACTGGCCCCAATCTATGACTGCAATCTGTAAATTAGAAAAAGTATTATCAACAATTGATGTCCAAATAGAATTAGGTAATGCTGATGAGGTGACACAATTTGAAGTATAATGAAGAATATACTCTTTCTGTTGTCTATACATTCTCCTATATTCTGCAATTGTGGGAAAGGACAGATAGAGTATAAGTGAGAAACCTCATGTAGTGGGAGTGAGAGTCCAAGGAGAACTTTGGGTGAATGTTGGGAAGAAATGGCAGGCACTGTCCTGCATTTGGAGGAGCAGATGGGAAGAACTCTGTGACTCAGTACTTACCATCAGCCTAGATACACATCACAGTCTCTTCTCACACATCCATAAATTCATTGCTTACTGAGTGCTTCAGTCTGTAGCTGCAAAAGTCTGATTCCTGTGATTTAAATGCATAAGGATTTAAGTGTTTCTTAACATAAAAAGAATCTATAAGTGGGCAGTCCAGGACTGATAAAACAGTGCTGAGTCATCAAGGACTCAGCCTGTATCTTCTCTTCCTTCTTAGTAGTGACTTCATTCTCAGTGATGTGTTATGAATTCCAGATGGTTGGTAAAGTTTTATTGGTTTGGTTCACATTTTAAGCAGCAGGAAGATACAGGAGGGAGGAAAAGCAAAACTGCTTTATTATTCCATGAGTAACTTCTGACATCTTCTTAGCTACCCTTTCTGCAAGGGAGACTAAGGAACTTAGTGTTTAGTTTGAGAATATTGTCATTAAAATATAGAGTTTTGTTGTTAGGGAGAAGGGGAAATAACTATTGTGTAAATAACCAGCAGTCTCCATCAAAGAATAGAACACAATTGCCAGGAAGGTACACTCAGAAGTGGGCATGCATTTAGCTATAAATGTCTCTAATTTCTCATTTTTTATGGCTGAGTAGTACTCCATTTTATAAAAAAAACACATTTTCTTTATGTAGTCTCCAGTGGATGGGCAATTTAGTTGTTTCCAAGGTTTGGCTATCACGAACTGTGCTGCTATGAACATGGGTGCACATATATCACTGTGGTATGATTCTTTTAATTCTTTGGGGAAGATCCCCAGCAGAGGAATAGCAGGGTCAAATGGGACTTCCGGTCCTAGTTCTTTGAGGTAACTCCATACTGATTTCCTCAGTGCTTGCACCAGTCTACACTCACACCAGCAGTGGAGCAGGGTTCCTCTTTCCCCACAGCCCCACCAGCATTTGTTATTGGTTGATTTCATGATAGCAGCCATTCTTTC